TGGGATGAGGTGACAGTGTGTGGGAGCCCTTAGCGATCTCTGGTCTCCAGGAAGTGCTCACTGGTGTGACCCACCGTGATGACGGCCAGGCTCTTTGGGAACGCTGGCTCTGCCTGCGGTGCCCTCACGTCTCCTGCTGCCTGCGTGTACACAGGCTCCTTTGTGTTCATTCGTGGAATGAGTCCTGGAGGACAGAGGGGCCAAGGAAACCGCACCGAAGGGCCAGGAGCCAGTGGGCCGGGACTGTCTGCATGTCCCCACCACCCACTTGTCTTCCTGGATGCATAAATCAGTTCTGTGTTCATCGTAAATAGTTGGAGAAACTCAGGAAAGTGCCAGCCTGGGGTGCATGAGTAATAGAAAAAGATAGCTCATTTGCTTGGAACCGGTAGGTGTTAGCTTGCCTGGAAATACAAGATATTCACAAATAAAAACCTCAGTGAGTGCCACCAGGCCGTGGGAATGCTGAGGAGAGACCCTGGCTGGGGGCCTCGTTTGTCTTATTGGATTAGGACGATGAGGAAGGAATTGAAGTTGCACTGGTTTTCTCCTGTCGGTGTTGCTCTGAGACACGGCTTTTCTTCTTTTTCCTCTTTTGACTGGAAGACAGAAGGGGGGGATTTGGAGGATGATTGCTTTAGGTAACTCTGCATCTGTCCATCCAACCACCATCCAGTGCCCAGCCACGGGACTGCCTGAGCAGCTGCCAGCCAGGCACTGGGCATACTCTGAGCACCACGAGTCATGTGGTCTCTGCCCACATTGAGTGCCGGTCTGCCAGGGATGAGCACTCAACACCTTGGTTCTGTATGTGTGGACCAGCTCTGGCTGCACAGGGGGTGGTGGTGCAGTTCCATTCACTTCAGCTGCTTTCACAGCTGCCACTAGACTTGAATGAACCTGAAAGACGTTCAGCACCTGAACTCATTTAACACCTGACACTAGAAAGTTCTCAGAGTGATGGTGCGCAGGACCCCTTGAGGGCCGGGTCCACCAATCCTGGGTCACTGAGAGAAGAGGAGGTGCCCCTGGGAGTGCATGGCTCAGAAATGGGGGAGCTGCAGCTTGGGGGAATAAGGAAGGCAAAGAAAAGCAGTGTCAGCAGCAGGGGCAGACTTGCCACACCTGGGGCAGCTCAGCTCCTGTAACTTGAGTAGAACCACTGCATGCCTCAGCAAGTCCCTTTGCCCTTACACCAGCCCTACAATACCGAACAGGGCTCCCCTGGTCTGCGAGAGCCCCCACCTGCTGGAGAGACCAACCCTTCTGTCTCTGAGATGAGAACCTGGCACCTGCACCTGACTGAGGTCTGGGTCTGTCTAATTCACTGTGGACCCGCAGCAGGTAGAACAGTGCAGGGCACCTGTTTTGGAATGAATGATGCTGAACCACCCCACTGGTCTCTCTTGTTCATCGCGTGAACAAGGAGAATGAGGCACACTGTCTTGGGGACCCTGTATTCACCATCTACAAGAATTTCAGCTCACGTAGTAAGATGTGACGAGAGAGATGGATCCGAAAGGGGAGAGAAAGCCAATAGTGGACAGCGATTTGGTGGTCTCCTTCAGTGAGTGTCCATCTAGGGTGATAGGGACCCCTGGGGCATGAGGCAGTGCATAGGAACATTTGGGGGGGGCAACATCTGTCAGGAAAAAGCCAGGGCACGAGGCCAGCCCCTCCTCTCAGAGCCATTCTGCCCACACTCTGACTGCTGATGGGGTTGTGACTGTGCGCTTAGCAGCAGGAGCGGACCCAGCAGCTCAGGAGCTCTCCCTGGCAGCTGCCAGGTGTCCGGAGCTGCAGCTAGAGCATCCCAAGCCTTGGAAGCAATGAGGTTTCCCTTCCTCCATCAGAGCAAGCAAATCCCTCAAGGCTTGCATCCACCAAGGCTGCCTGACCACCCGGAATGGCATAGGGAAAGTCGGGCTGAGCCACACGGCTGCAGGGCTGGCAGCCTTCACTTCTAGAGGTGGCCAAGGCCTGCAGCAGGGCACTGTGGGTGTGCATGGGGTCAGACACATCCTGTGGTCCTGGGGCTTGAGCAGGTGCTGGGCAGCACATCTCCCTTCATACCACGTCTCCTGTTTCTGTCCAGACGTCAACTCTAGGGTCTCAGAGCCGCTTCGCAGCATCTTTCCCGAAATGCACTCGGACTCAGCGAGCAAAGAGGTGCCCGGCCACATCCTGCTGGACATAGACAATGACACGGAAAGTACCGCGCTGTGAAGAGCACTGGACCCCGTCCTCCCCGGTGAGCGGGACAGAGCGCCAGACACACCTATCTTTGCAGACCAAACAGCGAACAGCTTTCAGTGAAGGGAGAGAGAGGCCTCCCCCTGCAGGCCTCGACCTTCTGCTTGGCTCGAGGAGACCATGGAGGCCGGCACTTAAAGCTGAATGACCTGTTGACCTGTGTCTTGAAGAAATCGTTTTTTCTTTACCTGGGTAAAGACATAATGCCAAAAAAAAAAAAAAAAAAAAGGCAAAAGAGATAGCTAGGCGTGTGAGAAGCTTTGTCGCAGCTGCTGAGGCAGGTGGCACCACGGCTGAGGAAGAAGCGATGCATTCACTGTCTATTTAACAAAGTGCGTTCATCGAGCAAGGCTCCTGCCCCCTGCCCCTCAGACTTGCATTGCCCGTGCTGGGAGGGAGCTTCTGCCTCCAGACTTGCTGCAGAACCGTTTCCTGTGCAGAAGGCTCTGTCTCCCGCAGGCCCCTGCGAGCCCCACGCGTTGACGGTGACGGCTGGTTCTGTCACCTCAGCAGACTGGGTGTGACTTGTGCCTTGTTGGATTGCCGGAATGTAGAAAGAAATGTACTGTTCTCTCTCTCTTTTTTTTTAAAGAAAAAAAATGTAATTGTTACTTGATAAGGACCGAACAATATTCTAGTTTCATGGTTAATTTGAATTAAATATATTCTGTGGTTTATATGAAAACGTGGTCATTCTTGCAGCCTAAGCGGGGGGGGGGGGGTGGTGGTGGTGGTGGTGGTGGTGGTGGTGGTGGTGGTGGTGCTGGGACTCGGCTTACACATACCTCAGTTAAGCATATTTTAATAACCAAGAAAACATTGGCATGTCATCTCATTACTTTTCCCACCAAAGCCCAGGTCTGACCAATTTTCTGTTTCCACCCCTCCACCTGCCCGTCCCCCTAAAGAGATATTGAGGCCCCATCCTAGAATCTGGGGAACCAATGGGAGCCATGGAAACAGACGATGCTGAGAGCAAGGAGCCAGACGCAGGTGGCCAGTTTGGACCTAGGGCCTGTGTGCACCCAGCTAGGACAGGCGGTGGGGCTCTAGTGGGAGGGACTGGCTAGAGTGAGACTGCTGACATTAGGAGAGGGTCTCCCAGGGGCAGGCAGGAGCTGCTCTGTATCTTAGACCCTCTGACTGGCTCAGCTGAAAGCTGGCTTTTAGCTACGCAGTTCTCAGGAGCCCAAGACAGGAGGCTGGATGAGCTGCACAGTTGCTGCCATGAACTTGGCCCTGAAGGAGCTAAGCTGGTGCAGGAATCGAGGGTGGTCTTATCACAGCTTACCTGGGCAGAGGTGTGGAGCCAGGCTGGGGAGGGCATGGGGCTGCTGGCCAGGAGCCGGGGGCCCATTCTTGAAGATCACCCAGCTGCTCATGCGCAGGGCATGGAGATAAGGCATCCGTGTGAATGGCACACTCTGCCCTCGTGGGACTCTGGCTCCTGGTTGAGCAGCTGGTGAAGTAGTTAAGAAAGTGTGACACAGGCTTCAGAGTTACCAAGTGGTGGGGGTAATCAAGGAAGGCTTCCAGGAGCAAGTGATAGCTGAGCAGAAACTGGCACAGACCTGGCTGTTTGCTCTCAAGTCACACCGGGTGTGGGGGTTAGGGGCTCTCCCTTTTACACCACCTGCATGCGAGGCTCTGATCTGACCTCAGGCTGCTGAGGTGGGCAGGGCAGAGTGGGGACCAGAGGGTGGCCTGGGTTGTCAGGGGTCTAGCGTTCCCAGCTTGAGGCCTGGAGATGTCCCTGTGAGATTCTCAGCACATCGTCTGTTCAACTCACTTCCACCTGCAGCAGGAGCGTGGGCAAGGCTACTGCAAGAGGGCTAAGCAGGGGTGAGGGGAAGAGCTGGGGCAAGCTCTTGTTGTCGGTGAGAGCACCCGGTGCCCCACTCCCCTCCCTGGCCCTTGGAGAGGACAGCACCAGTTCTCAACAGGAAGAATGGGGAACCAGTTGCAGGGACCCAGAGACAGCCAGCTCCCTTCCTGGGAGGACACTGTGCACCTTGTATCCTGACCACTGGTGTCATTTAAATCACTGTAGGAAAGCTAGGGCTAGGGACTCAGGTTGCGGCTCCTCAGGTAAAACCACTGCATGTGACAGCAGCATGTCGCGTGAGCACCAGTTCAAGCCGTGGCTGCTCCACTTCCTCTTCAGCCTGGCACCCATTTGGGGAGTGATCCAGTGGTTGAAAGATCCCTATCTGTATCTCCCTTCTCTCTCCCACATCCTTCCTCTGTAATTCTGCCTTTCAACTAACTGAATCTTCAACCAAAGGAAAACAAGAGAAGGGCACATAGCTCCCTGATCTCAGGACACCGACTCGGGAGTGAGAACCACCCAGAGCAAACCTCTGGGCACTGGCCAACCTTGGATGGCAAGAGGGAATGCAGGTCCCACTTCTAGCAAGGTTCAAATGTTGAATGCAGGGGGCCTGGAGCAGTAAACGGGCTTTTCTTATTCTAAGTGGGTGTTTGAGCAACCACATCTTTGTTTGGAATAATAATAATAATAATTAAAAAGCTTCTGTCCCCTGGGACCTCCAAAACATAATCTCTGGTCTAGGAGGTTCTGAAAGGGGTGAGTGAAATACCCTGTAGAAAACGACTCCCCCCCCCCCAAACAGCTGGGAAACATCACAGTAAATAAACAAAAGCTTTATTATTATTGTTTTCTTGCATTAAAAAATAACGGGGCCGAGGAGGGCGGCGAGGGCAGGGAACCCCGGGCAGACGGCACGCTAGGCGAAGTAACCCCACATGAAGAAGGCGCAGCAGATGCAAAGGAGGCAGTTGATGTCCAGGGCCCTTTTCACCACGGCGTTTTCCTCCAGGGACGCCAAGGTGGGTTCGGCTGGGCTCGGGGGCACCTCCGCGCTCTTGCTTGTCACCCCGCACAGCCACAAGATGGCGCTGAGCACCTTGGACTGCTGTGGGCTGGCGTCACCTGCAGAGAACCCGGCAGAGCAAGCTCGTGATGGCGCCTTAAAGAGGGCAAACTAAGAGAAGCAGTGGCTTAAGCTGATAAGCAGCTCTGCTGCTTCTTCTTCTTAAAGATTCATTTATTTTTGTTGGAAAGTCAGATATACAGAGAGGAGGAGAGACAAAGAGGAAGATCTTCAGTCCGCTGATTCACTCCCCAAGTGAGCGCAACGGCTGGAGCTGAGCCAATGCGAAGCCAGGAGCCAGGAGCTTCTTCTAGGTCTCCCACATAGGTGCAGGGTCTTTGGGCCATTCTCTACTACTACTCAGGCCACAAACAGGAAGCTGGATGGGAAGTGGGGCTGCTGGGACACGAATTGGTACCCAAATGGAACCCTGGACATGCAAGGTAAGGATTTTAGCCAATAGGCTACAGCACCAGACCCGCTGCTCTGCTTCTGAACCAGCTCCCTGCTAGTACTCCTGGAAAAGCAGCCGAGGATGACCTGATAATTCAGACCCCTGCAAACCATATGGGAGACCTAGATGAAGCTCCAGGCTCCTGGCTTCAACCTGATCCAGCCGCTGGACCATTCTGAGACCACCTGGGGAGTGATCCAATGGATGAAAGATGTATCATTCCCCGTTTCTAACTCTGACTTTCAAATAAATAATAAATCATTAATTTAAAAAATGTTTGTAAAAGAGCCATGGCCATGACAACACAGCCTCAGGGCTATGGAGACAGCAGGGATGGGTGAGGACCTTGGCTAAATGGCAGTCACATCCCCAGGGAAGCTGCAGTTGCTGCACAGCCTCTGGCAGCTGCCTCGCTGTGGGTACCATGTTGCTGCGTCTTCCCCTTTCTTTCAGGAGTGGCTGGAAATCTGGAATTTCTTGTGCCAGTGCCAGGTGTTTCCATAGTAACTCCTGGCTTAATGCAGCAGTAAGCGGGCTACACCAAATTTCGCCAGGGTAAAAGCTGTGCCCCCTCCCTGCCAGAGTTGCACCAGATTGCAATTCCAGGTGTGCCGGGCGCTTAGCTGGCCTGCCTTTGCCGCTGTGGCCCAGGCGAGGCTCGTGGGAACTCCCTCTAGTGACCCGAGAGTGGGCAAGGTGTGTGCGAGGGGCTGGAGTCCCCAGGCTATCTGCTCCTCTGGCTGGTGTGGTTCCCTGAGTTCCCTATAACCCCACGCTGTTGTCCCCACGGACAGCGACCACTTACCACTGTGTGTTTTGGATGCGCCCTCCTGCACCATCTCCAGCTGGATGCCGGCGCTGTGGGTCTCAGCTGTCCCGTTCTGACACACGGCAGGTGGCCGGGGAGTGGCCGCCGCCCCCTGCTGCTGCTTCTGGACTACCGGGTCGTGGCGAGTAAACCAGGTCAGGCGGCTGATCTAAGGAGCAGAGAGCAAGGGTGAGGACGTGTGTTCCTCCCCAGGTTCAAGGTCGGGCTTCACCTCCAGCTGGGGCCACCCCCAGAACAAGCCTCCGCGCCACATCCCCCAGAACACTTGGCTTACTTTCCTGCCCTTAACAGTCCTCTCTCATCCTAGCTCTAGGGCACAGTGGTACCCAGACAGGAGGCATTCCAGCTTGCCGAGTTCCCTGGCCCATTACATGGGTGATGTGAAGTCCATCAGAATACAAATAGACTTGCTTGTGTTCACCCTAACCCGAATAAATAAGGCTGGGAAATTATGAAGGAAGGATCCCACATGCAATTCCCTAATAATGGTAACTTTTAATAATAATACATTTCTAGGGGGCAGCATTGTGGCATAGCACATTAAGCCGCTGCCTGCAGTGCCTGCGTCCCTCATGGGTATGGGTTTGAGTCCTGGCTGCTCCACTTCCCATCCAGCTCCCTGCTAATGTACCTGGGAAAGCAATGGAAGAGGGCCCGAGGACTTGAGCCCCTGATACCCAAGTGGGAGACCTGGATGAAGCCCTTAGCTTCTTACCCGGCCCAGTTGTGGTCATTGAAGCCATTTAGCGGAGAGTAAACCAGTGGTTGGAGGATTTCGTGTGTTTATGTAACTCTGCCTTTCAAATAAAAAACAACCACCAGAGCCACAACTCCCCTAAGGCCACCACCACGTTCTGCAAGAAGTCCTTCCAGCAGGACATCTGCCCACAGCTGATACTCAACCACTGCTGGACACATCTCTGTCTGACAGTCTTTGCTGCATCAGAAACACTGCTGCTTTCCACTGAACGACAGCAGAAGTAGGGACAGCCGCAGAGCCGTGTGGCCCCACGCAGGGCCTGAGCCTCCAAGTCCAGGTGAGAGATGGCTTCTGAATGGATCCCCCGATCCTTGAATGGTCAGGCCTCTTGGCTTAACTCGCTTGGAACCACGCACCTCAGCGGATACGGGTGTCCACAAAAACGTACCATCTCCTTGGACGGAGGCTCTGTGAGCAGGCTGATGGCTGTGAGGGTGACCAGGGTCACCGAGGACAGGATCATGGAGAAGTAGAGGTAGTGGACGTCCTTGACCACGGAGGGGCGCTCGTCCGGCTGGTCGCAGGTAGGCTGCACGTAAATGAAGTCCAGGATGAGCCTAAGGAAGCCCAGGAGCAGGCCCAGGACGAGGCCCCAGAAGGCACCCTGCCAACCAGAGCAAGATCAGCTTAGTGACACAGAGGGGTCAGGCTTCAGGCCGGGGGCTTGTTCATCTTGGGAGCGTCGCTGCATGGATCCCTGCTTGGGAAACACCTGGAGCTGTTTGTTTAGGAGTCCCTCAACATCCCCTGGGGGATGCATGCGGGATTTTTCAAGGATACCACCATCCACAGGCGCCCCAGTCCCCTATACAGAATGGCATTTGCATGCAGCATAGGCACCCACTTCCGGTCACTCACAACACCTAATATAGCGGGGGATACAAATTCATGAAGAAAGTCTACCTACGTACAAGAAAAATGTAAAACCTACGTCTAGTTTTCTGCATACTAGGCATTCTCGTGAGCTTTTGTTGGCAAGGTGAGGGGAAGACCTCTTGCTTAGATGGATTTCAAAAAATTGAGGCAGCAGGGGGAAGCCACACCATGGCATACTGGCTGCCACCATCATTCCACATGGGTCCTGGTGCGTGTCCTGGCTGCTTCACTTCCCGACCAACTCCCTGATGCTGTGCCTGGAGCACCTGCGTGGGTCCCTGCCCCCCCCCCCGCGAGAGACTCGGAAGGCGCTCCTGTTCCTGGCTTTGGACTAGCCCAGCTCCTGCGGCCATTTGGGGAGTGAAGCAGAAGGTGGGAAGTCTAACCCTGCACTTCTAATAAAATAAGTAAAAAAAAATTTTTAAGTTTTTGTGTGCTAGTTAAAATTTCTTAGGGAATGAGGACAAGAAAGAAAAGTTTGAACATGTTAGGGACAAGTGTACATTTTTTTTTCTCTTTTTAACCTGAGCTGGTTGAATCACAGAGGCGAAACTCATGGATACTGCCAGGAGTTTATCACATGTCATTTATTCTTTCCTGTTCACTTGGCTTCTTTGCTTAATGACCAAATTACCTCAAGGTATTGCCGACTCCCTTCCCGACTGTAGCCTCTTTTCAAAGACCAGGCGCTCCCTCCCTGGGCCTTCTGTTCTCTGTCCCTGAGAACTCACACAAGGGCAGCCCATTCTCCCATTTCCGGTCTGCTTCTCTCCCCCAGCACTCCCTGTCCCCACCCCCGGGGGGCAGTGTGGTGGGGGCTGAACCGGAGCTACCTTCTCATTGGTCCGCTTCCAAAAGCATCCCATGATGAAGACCACAGCCACGGGCGGTTGCAGGTAGGAACTGATGGCCTGGATGTAGACGAAGAGCTGGCCTCCCTGGCTGGCCTGGACCACGGGGATCCAGAGCACGGAGACCACAACGAGCAGCAGCACGAAGACCCTGTGCCAGACAAAGAGAGACCCCGGGTAGGTGCGTCTTCCCTGATGATTCACTACCAGTCTCAGCTTGGCATGGTGCCACCAGGTAAAGCTCTGCCCATGGCACTGACATACCATATCCAAGCCCTGGTCCTCTGCTCTGCTTCAGATCCAGCTCCCGGCCATTGAAGGGGACAATAACATCCCCACGCTGTCACCATAATCAAGATTTAGAACATCCCTCATGCCAGAAAACCCCTCGTGTCCTTTCGTGGTTTCCTCAGCTCCCACCCCAACGGCCACTCCTCCTGCTTTCTGTCTCCTGTCAAAGATTTGCCTTTTGGGACATCACCTCTCAGTGGTATCCTGTGACTGTGGCCTGTCACAGCTGGCTGGCTTTTTCATGACATGCTGCTCTGAGCTTCATCCATGTTGTTACACAGCCAAGGCGCCTTCCTTGCCATGGCTGTGCTGTCTTTGTTCCTTCTTGGCCAGCTGCTGGGCGTTTCAATAGTGTCTCCTTTCTCCTACTAAATAATGCCTTCCACGAACATGAGGAGTTAATCTTTCATGTGGACATAGGAGGCAACTTCAATGAGAATGAAAAGAGATGCCAAAAAAAATTGAAATCCATGCATTTTTTTTTTATAGCATAGAGGGTTCCTCTATGCTTCTATTTCCAGTGATGCAATCTCTAAGTTGGCTCAGTATGTTTATATATATATTTTAAAGAAACTGCCAAAATGTTTTTCATGCTTACTTTTATTTACTGGAAGGGGCTGGAGAGAGAGAGAGATCTTCTATCTACTAGTTCTCTCCCTAAATGACTGCCATAGCTGGATTGGGTCAGGCGCCTGGAATCCCACCCAGGCTTCCCACGTGGCTGGCAGGAACTCAGGTGCTTGAGGCGCCACCTGCTGCCACGTGTTAGCAGGAGGCTGGGACTCCTCCCACTGCAGGAGCATCCCCCCCCCCCCCGGGGGCAGCTTACGGCAGTGCTCCACAGCATCTGCTCACACCAGACTGGAACGCTCAAGCCATATTTCTACCTGTCATGTATGAAGGTCCAAAAAGTTTTTTGAAAAATGGAATTCAAGGGTAAATGTATTATGATGTTAACATTTTTAATAAGATTTATTTAATTCACTTGGAAAGTCAGAGTTACAGAGAGAGACAGAGAGGATGAGAAAGAGAGACAGAGAAAGATCTTCCATCTGCTAGTTCATATCCTAAGCGGCTGCGATAGCTCAAGCTAGGCAGGGCTGAAGCCAGCAGACAGAAGCTTTCTCCAGGTCTTCCATACGGGTGCAGGGTCCCAAGGACTTGGCCAATCCTCCAGTTCTTTCCCAGACTATAAGCAGAGAGCTGGATGGGAAGTGGAGCAGCCAGGATGCGAACCTGTGCCCATGTGGGATGCTGGTGTTTGCAGCCTGTTGCCAGCTCTATGCCAGCTCCCTTAAACATTAAAAAAATTTTTTTTTTCAGTTCTCCTTTTTTTGTGTTGTTGTGACCATGGGAGAGTTGCAGTCTGTGTCCTCATGCGGGTTCTTGGTTACCCCACTCCGCGGGCTCTGCAGGGGTGCCCAGCACCGTGCCTGGGTTTGGGCTGCCTCCATGATGTCATTTGGAATCTCTTGCCTTGCTCATTTGCCAGCCTCGCGCTCCCTTGCCCAAGTGCCTGTGTAAAGCTGCTATTGCTTGGTCTCCTTATGCCGGACGAGTTCTTCGTTTACGCTCAAGGACAAGTCCTTTGGCTGGCGGTTTACTTCCTCCCAGGCTGAGGCTTGTCCACTCCTGCTTTCGTAATAGTTATCTTTCCAAGCAAGAATGTAGAACATCTTTGATGAAATCCACAGGACCATTTAAATGGATTTATACTTTTGGGGTCATCACTAAGAGAACTTTTTCTTTTTTAAAAGGCAGAATTACAAAAAGCGGGAGAGACACAGATCTTCCCTCTGCTTGCTTCACTTCCCAAATGGTCACAACAGCTGGGACTAGGCCAAGTTCAAAACCAAGAACCAGGAACTCCATCCAGGTCTCCCATGTGAGTGGCAGGAGCCCAAGGACTTGGCCCATTTTCCGCTGCTCTCCTGGGTTGCATAAGCAAGGAACTGAGTCAGAAGTGGAGTAGCTGGGACTTGAACTGGCACCCAGGTGGGATGTTGGCACAGCAGGTGACCGTTAATCCATTGAGCCACAGCACCACTCTAGAGCTCTTCTCCTAACCCAAGGCTGAGACAACCCTCTTTAGGGTTGTTATTTGTGTGTATTTACATATAATTTGCATGTGACTCCTTCCTGTTCCATTCCTCCAGGTAGAGTTGAGGGCTTAGAAGAAGCCTTGATGTAGAACGCTTCGACCAGCCCTGGGTTCCTCTATTCTGTTACTAGTTTGTTCCTGATTCCAGTCCAGGCTGGGTGCCCCTGCTGAGTCTCTCCCCATCATAGCACTCCTAGAGGGATGGGTGTGGCTGTAAGCCGTGTCTAGTACATGGCAGGGGCTTGGTGGGAATGAATGGTCCGCATCTTTGTCCCCACAGGAGACTACCCCGGCCTCTGGGGACTACCAGCTGGACTCGGCCTCTAGGTGTCCAGATTTCTCAGTTCCTCCCGCCCCACTCTTTGTACCCCACTGCCCGATCTCCTCCTAGCCCCACCCCAGAAGGCCTTACCTGCCCACAATCATGAGCTCCCTCTCTGACGCGCGAGGCCGGACGTGATTCCAGAGGTCCATGGTGAAGATGGTGCTGGCACTGTTAAAGATGGAGGTGAGGGAGGACATGAGAGCAGCCACCATCACAGCCATCATGAGCCCTCGGAGTCCTGGGGGCAGAAGGGAGTGCTATCGGCTGGGGCTTTCCTGCCAACACCTGCTGCTTCCTACCCAAAAGTCAGCTGGGCCCATGGAACTCTGCTGCGAAGGGGCAGAGGCTCAGATGAGGATGAGTGGACAGAGCCCCCCTGGACAGCCAGCCGCCTCCTGTCCACAGCTCTCCCACTAGAGCCCAGGCAATGTCCTCCTTCCTGGCTGCCCCCAGGGCAGGGGGTGGGAGGGAACTCAGGCTGGGGACAGGGCAAAAGGGGCTTACCTGTGGGCAGGAGCTCCAGCACCAGCTTGGGGTAGGCGATGTCGGAACATCCCGAGGGGTTGCCACAGACCCTCCGACAGATGTCTGGGTCTGCACAGGCCACTTGGTCTGCAGGGAAATCACAGGTCCAGGCTGAGCGTGCAGACTGATGCGGGCCAGATTACACTTTGGAAGCTGTGACCAACCCTGTCTCTTACCCTCTCTGAACCTCAACCTGTTGTCAAGCTGGGAACACGGCGTGAGCCTCACTCTTCATGAGATGAAATTGATTGTGAGGCAAGCACCCTGCACCACATGAGCACAGCTCATGCCACCTGCTGGTGTGTCTTGCCACAGCATCCCACAACAGGCTGCCTGTTCCTGACCTGCTCTGCAACAGGGGCTAAAAACAAGGCATGGTTGGACTGAAGCTGCCTGTGGCTGGACACCTGGTGAGTGTTCTGAAACTTCCTCTTGTCCCTGGCTCCCTTCTCAGTGTACATGGAATACAGCAGCCATCACTCGCTGCGAGTGCCAATGCCAGTGCCTTTCCGGGTGGCCCCTGGCTTTCTCCCTCCTCCTCTTTCTACGTTTCTCTATTGGCATCTCTCTGATCTTCAGGTGCTCCTTGGATCACAGCCTCCGCATGGGTGAACTGGGCTAGCCACAGACGGAGACACCCAGTCGCTGTGTCAGAGAGCTTGGCTCCACTCCCGACTCCAGCTTCCTGCTACGGTATGTCCTGGAGGTCGTAGTGATGCTCAAGGAGTTGGTCCTGGCCACCTAGCTGGGAGAACTGGGTGGAATTCCCGATTCCCAGGCATTTATCTGGAGAATGGACCAGTGAATGGGAGAGCTCTCTTCCTCTATTCTCACTCTGTATCTCTCAGATAAAATCAATTAATTAAAAAAATGGCTTCTGTACTAAATATTTTTCCATTATCTGCTAGACAATACAGCATATCAACTGTCTATATAGCATTCATGCGTTATTAGGTATTATACATCATCTAGGGCTCGATGCGGTAGCCTAGTGGCTAAAGTTCTCGCCTTGCACACGCTGGGATCCCGTGTGGGTGCCGGTTCTAATCTCAGATGTTCCATTTCCCATCCAGCTCCCTGCTTGTGGCCTGGGAAAGCAGTTGAGGATGGCCCAAAGCTTTGGGACCCTGCACCCACGTGGGAGACCTGGAGAAGTTCCTGGATCCTGACTTTGGATTGGCATAGCATCGGCCGTTGTGCTCACTTGGGGAGTGAATCATCGGACGGAAGATCTTCCTCTCTGTCTCTCCTCCTCTCAGTATATCTGACTTTCCAATAAATACATAAATCTTAAAAAAAAAAGAATAAAAAATAAATCTTAGAAAAGAGCAATCTTATTGAAAAATATATGCCTTTTAGAAGGTTGGAGTTTTTGACTTTTTAGTACTCTTCTGAATTAGCTCAGAAGAATATTAGAAAATATTTACTTTTCTTATTACAGGAGCATTGTCAGGGGCCTCCCGGGGGCACAAAGTTTATGTTTAAGTTCAAATCTTTGTGAGCTTTTCCTGATCTGGCTTTTGGGGCCAATGTTTCGTGCAGCTTTGTACTGGTAGAATATAGCCATGGCCTGTAACGCTGGGACCCTCCTACAGGGGCTAATCTGAGTCTCGGCTGCCCCACTTCTGCTCCAGCTCTTGTGCCTGGGAGAGAAATTGATGATGTTCCAAACATCTGGGCTTCTGCCACCCATGTGGGAGACACAGATGGGATTCCAGGCTCCTGGATTCAGCCTGGCTATTACGGCAAACTGGGGAGTGAATCAGTGGATGGAGAATTTCTTTCTTTCACTGTCTCCCTGACTCTGTAACTCTGTCAGATAAAAACAAAGCCCTTTAAAAAGGAAATAAAAGCTGCTCTCTTTGAGGTAGAGGCGAGGGGGGAAGAATCCCCCTGAGATATAATTGTCAACTACGTAGTTTCTCTTTCTCTCTCTGGTTGAGCAGCCTGAGCTTTAGGGTCAAACCCCGGGCTTGCAAAGCATGTGTGTGACAGGCCACAGTTTGCCCACTTAGTCTCAAAAAAGTGTTCTTTATAGGCAAGTGAGTTGGTTCAACTAAATGAGAAGTACAACCCACAACCAGTTCATTACCATCTGCTCACTGCTGTGAACTAATTAATCAGCCATTTCTTGCGTGCAGTGGGTTCCCTTGCCAGAAAGCTTCAGACCCAGGCCCACATTATGTCACACTGAGTTAAACTACTGCCTGTGGCACTGGCATCCTATTTCTGAGCAACAGTTTGAATCCTGGCTGCTCTGCTGCTGATCCAGCTCCCTGCAACTGCGCCTCGGAAGATAGCAGAGTCCTTGGGGCTCTGACGGCCTCATGGGGGACCTGGACAGAGGTCCTGACTCCCGACTTGGCCCAGACCTAGATGTTGGCACCATTTGGGGAGGGAGCCAGTGGAAAGAAAATATTCTCTCTCTCTTTCTCCATGTCCTTGCTCTGCCTTTCCATTAAGCAACAAATCTTCACAAAGACAAACTAAACCCCAGAGTTCAACAGTTCCCCCAAATCACTTCGGCCCGGGGAGCCCCTCTCTGGCCTCATCTGTGATGTCACCTTGTGTATTTCTCTCATCACACTTCACCCAACCAACACGAGCGCATTCATTGGCTCATTCCTGTGTTAACCCACAGCCCCTACTGCAGTGGGGACACTGCCTTTCAGATCCACAGACAGATCTCCAGGGACTGCTAGACCAAGACCTGACAGATCGCCGTTCTCACAGCATTCTCCAGGCACAGAGATGAATAAATAAATGGGTGAGGAAATCAGTTTCTCTGAGCTACCGTGTCATCCTTTGAAAGATGGGAATATCAACAAGGGCACCTGCCTCTTGCAGTCATTCTGCGGGTGTCATGGGGGTGAGGGTTCTTTCTCATCCTCAGGGCATTTGTTCCAGAACTCCTCAAGGATGCAGAAAGCTGAAGGTGTGCAAATCCTTTAAATAAAATGGTGTGGTATCTGCATATAAACTAGACACAGCTCACCATATACTTGACATCATCTCTGGGTTATGCATAATATCTCATGTTACGTAAGTAGCTGCTATGCTGTATTGTTTAGGGAATAAAGGCAAGGGGGGCGGGAAGGCTGTTGATGTTCAGTACAGATTCAGTGTTTCTGGAATAGTTTCCAACCGTGGGACTGAATCTGCACATTCGGAGCCCCAGGATATGGAGAGCTGGCTGCAGTCAAATGAAGTAAGAACAGCGAACACTTGCCTGTGCCAGCTGGTGTTTTAAGACGTATGAAACCCTATCATCCCCCCGTCACAGGCAAGGAAATGAAGGGAGAGGGGTCAAATGACTTAGGGAAGGTCACTTTGTAAGAGGCAGAGACAAGTTCCAGGCCCAGGAAGTCTAGATTCAAGTTCATAACCACTACGCCTGACTGCAAGATGCTCCCAGGGACTGGCCTCGCACTTGAAAAGTGCATAAGGAATGTTGATTGCTTTAAGTCACGTTTGTTGTTCATACATGAAGTTTTCTCTGGGTCATCCGGATCCGGATCCCAGTTCTTATCTGCCTGGGGGTGGAGGCTTCTCTAGAGGTAAGACCAAAAACTCTCCGAGTTCCTCACTGAATCTGGTCTAGAGAGGCAACATCCAGAGTCTAGCACCATGGACAGTGACCCCAATTCCCTGCCCTAACTCCCTCTAAGTCCCAAGGAAATGCATACAGAACCCTTGGGAAGTTCCAACACCCACAGATGCTCTCTTCCCTGCTGTCTTCTCACCTGGAAAGAGGATGCGGCTGACCATCCCAGGAAACACCATGATGAAAAGGGGCAGCACCTTCATGTATGAGGCCATCAGAGAACCTCCTTTGGCGTGGGACAGGTTCTTGGCAGCCAGTGACCGCTGGACAATCACCTGGAAAACAGCGAGGGTGGCTGGAGGTGGAAATGGGTTTCTCTTAGGGTAGACCAGAAGTGCACAAGTTCTGTGTTGGAGGAGTGGGCTCAGCATGCTGGGTTGCCTTCTGGGGGGTGGAACATGTCTTCCCTGTGGTGACTCCCTACCTTTCTCCTCACTGTTTTTTTTTTTTTTTTAACCTAGAAGTTTGGTCCTGATTGATGAAAGGTGTCCATCAAATTTCATTCTAACCCACGGCTACCATCATCATCAATTAGGAAAGCACGTAAACTCCAGGCATCCAGCCGCTGCTCTCATGGGGCTTCTCAACAAATGGCAAGGAGCGAGGCTCTCCACCTGCTGCAGGCCCCACACAAATCGTTCCCTCTGCAGGTGTCACAGACCCGCTGGCTGCACAGCCGTCACTAGATCGCCAAAGACAGAAGACATCATAGAAGAAAGAAGGCCAGGAGGTGGAGGCCAAAGTCACTGCAGGGAGGAGACGCTCAGGAGGTGAAGGGAGAGACACACCCAACGGTTGGTCACGTGGCGTGAGTCCTTCCTTCTGAAGCTGTCTGACGCTGCCTGGGCTTGGCTCCTGCCTCCCTGCCTCTTGGCTGTGTGACCTTGGGTAGGCAACGATACCTCGCTCTGGCCTGGTGTTTGCATCTGCAGGATGGGTTCACGCCAGGACAATTCACTGGAACACGTAGAGTTGTACCTGACCCACTGTAACTGCCCCCCCACACCTACTGGGGTTGTCCACTTCTAACCTCCCCCTCACGTGAGGGCTTTTTTAAAAAAAATGTTTCTTGATGCTTCACAAATTCCGTGTGTGTACCTGAGGGATCCTTTTTCTTAATGTTTTTTTGTTTTTGTTCTTTAAACAGGGGCAGAGTTGTTTCATGTTGATTTTTAAAGTTTCACTTTATCTGGAAGGCAGAGGGAGCCAGAGATTGCTCTTTGTCCTGCTGAATGCTAACCCAGTGCTGGTAACCAGCAGGTCTGGGTGAGGACAAGACCAGGAGCTGGAAACTCCATCCAGGTCTTCTACAGACTTTTTAAAATTTAATTAATTTATTTTTGTTGGAAAGGCAGATCAGACTTATGGAGAGAAGGAGAGAGGAAGATCTTCCATCTGCTGGTCTGCTGGTTCACTCCCCAAATAGCCACAGCGGCTGGGGGCTATTAGCCGGTTGAAGCCAGAGTTTGTTCTGAGTCTCCCACACGCGTGTAGGGTCCAAGCTTTTGGGTCATCTTGCACTGCTTTTCCCAGCCCATTAGCAGGGAACTGGATCAGAAATGGAGTAGCCAGGGCATGAACCAGCATCCACACAGGAGGCAAACACAATGACGAGAACAGGTGCAGGGTGGGGAGATAGCTGATTTCACTCACCCCAGGAAAGAAGCAGAGGGAGGTGCCCGTCCACTGCCCGCTGCCCACTGCCCGCTGCCCGCTGCCCGTACCTGGTCCGTGCACCAGTACCACAAGGATGGAACGGACATCCCAAACAGGATCCCGGGCCACGGCAGGTCAGACGTCAGCGGGTGCCGGAAGAGATGGAAGGCGTCTTGCCGGGGCAGCCCACAGCTGCTGTTCTCGCTCCGGTTGCTGGGAAGGGCCTGAAAGTATTTCTCCCGCAGACCTTCCAACCCGCCGACCTCAGCAAAACCTGCAATCCAGGGGGAAAGCCAGGAACTCAGGCGAGGAGCAAGGCTCCCAGGGAAAGGCTGTCCCCTAGCGGTCATGGCTGGAGATGGCTTGTAGGACTAACAATCCCAAATGCAGAACAAGATTGCTTATAAGAATTCAAAGGAAGCCAAATCTATTGAAGGCAACTATCAAAATATTCTCCAAAAATGACATCCTAAATTATTCGCTCTAGGAGATAGTAAAACCTTGAAGTAGGTCTAGGAAGGACTCGGGGTTTTTCTTTTCTTTTTCTATTAGAAAGACAATGTTGCAGAGAGAGCAGAGAGGTCTTCCATCCGCCGGCTTACGCCCCACATGGCTACAGCAGCCAGAATTGAGCTGATCTGAAGCCAGGAGTTTCTTCTGAGTCTCCCACGTGGGTGCATGGACTCAAGAACACGGGAATCCTTTGATGTTCTCACACACATCAGCAGAGAGCTGGATTGGAAGTGGAGCAGCTGGGACTCAGGTTGGCACCCTATGCCACCGTGATGGCCCCAGGTGTTTTTTTTTTTCTTAAACACTCACCTATTTATTTATTTGAAAAACAGAATAACAGAGAAAGAGAGATCTTCCATGCACTGGTTCAGTCCTCAATTGGCTACAACAATCAGGGTTGGGCGAGGCTGATACCAGAAACCAGGAACTCCATCTGGGTCTCTTAAGTGGAGCCCCTGTACCTAAGTGGCCTTTCCAGGCAGGTTAGCAAGAAGCTGGACAGGAAGCAGAGCAGCCGGGGCTTGAATCAGCACTTAGACACAGGACATCGCTGTCACAAACAGCAGCTCAACCCATTGGGCCATAATGCCAGCCCTGGATTTAGTGCTAAAATAGTTATGAATGGGCCTAATGCCATGGCACAGTAGGTTAAGCCTCTGCCCACAGTGCCAGCATCACATGTGAGATGGTTTGTGTCCCAGCTGCTCTACTTCCAATCCAGCTCCCTGCTAACATGCCTGGGAAAGTAGCAGAGGATGGCTAACGTTCTCAGACCCTTGCACCCACAGGGGAGACTCAGAAAAAGCTCCAGGCTCCTGGTTTAGACCAGGCACAGAGTCCCAGCCATTGTGACAATTTAAGGAGTAAACTAGTGGATACAAGGCCTTCCTGTGTCTCTCTCTCCCTCTCTCTGTACAATCTTGGCTTTCAAATATATGTAATAAAAAAGTGCCACTGGGGGTGATGTGCCTAGAAGGCAACAGGGAATGGCCCAGGTCCCTGGGTCTTAACTGGCCATTTAGTAGGCCTGGGTCTGAGCTCTGGGCTTCTGGCTTCAGTTTGGCCCAGCCCCAGCTGTTACGGGCATCTGCGAAGTTTACCAGTCAGAAGAAGACCTTTATGTCCCTTCTCTTCCTCCTTCTTCCAAACATAACAAAAACAAATGTAAAAGCCCGTAACTTTCCACCATGAGCACAGTTCTGTTTTGGTTAGAACAAGGACAGGAATGCCCGCCTAAGTGTCACACATTGACCGCGGGGCTTGCTGACGGCAGCAGGAGAGCTGACGTCCCTGCTAGAGAAGGATGCTGTGGTTCTCACTCACTGTAGCCCATCAAGGTGAGCGCGCCGACAAGCATGATCAGGGTCTGCAGAGCATCTGTGTAGATCACAGCCGCCAGGCCACCTGTGGGGGGATAAGCGCAGTGATGAGGGGCAGGTGCACTGATGGGGCGGAGCCAGCTTGGGTCTTGGAGGGAACCCTGAATGCCAGATGGGCAATTTCTCAGTGTCGACCGATCACAGGTGCTTGTAATGACCCTCTCTAGGTGCACATGTCCATTAACTGCAATGTGACTTTGCTTTCAAGTTATTCCCTCTACCTCGTAAAACTTGACCTTAAAACTTACTCTGCATCACAGAGCATGATGGAAGTAATTTGTTTTTTCAAGGCGCCCTCAAGCTTTCTATCTTATTCTTAGGCTGCTCTGAGACCACAAACTTTAAGAATCAAAGTCTAGAATCGTACATATGTGCTTCTCATATTGGAATGCCTGCTTTAAATCCCACTTGGTCCTTCTCCAATCCAGTTTCCGGTTACTGCCCCCTGCCCCCTGGGAGGCAGTAGGTGATGGCTCCAGTGCTTAGTTCAAGGGAAGGTGACAGACATACAGCTGGTGTGTCTTTCCTTGCTCTGTCCTTGACAGCAGAGGATCACCCAGCTTAGATTCTGGCTCCCAGCTCACTGCACTTCATTTGTGACTCAGCCTGAACCTAATGAAATTCTAATTTTAATGCTGTTATATCCACTCTCCCTCTACCCCAAATGATTCACTGTCCCAGATGTCATCAACGGCCAGGCTGGGTTAGGAACCAGGACCTCCATCGCGAGTTCCCACACGGGACCTTAACCCTCGACCTGACCTCTGCTGCTTTCTAGAGCTCACATTGGCGGGAAGCTGAACTTGAACCCAGGACCTCTGATGTGGGACCAAGGTGTCCCAAATACTAGGTGTCAAATGCACATTCTTACTGCCATTTCTCTACTGTTTATCAAGCGTTTAGCATACACCAGGCACTGTGGCACATATTAGATTCAATTCTTCACCAAATAGCCTGTGAGCATCCCACCAGCTTCCACACTGAGGCATACTCCCTGCCCTCCAAGAACTTAACAGTTGGAGACAGACCCAACGCCCTAACAAGGAAAGCAAAGACGAGCTGGCGAGCGTCAGCAGCCATTCCTTTGCCCACGCTCCAGGTGCATGGTTCCCATTTGTGTTGAGGACTTGGCCAGGGTCTTCTTTCAGCAGGTCCCCTTTGCACGTGGTGGATGTGTTACTGTTCTCCGCAGTGCCTCCAGTGGAGTTGCACGGCTCTGAGAACGAAGTCCAGGCTCTTATCTCCTCCCCGGCACCGGCCCCTGCCTTTGCCTTGAGTTGTCCTCCTACCACAGGGGCGGGTATCGAGGACAACACCCAGCAGGGCCGGTTCTCACTCTCGGTTATGTGAAGGCACACCCTGGCTTAGCTGCATGATCATTGGCTCGCCCAGCTTTGACCACCTTGACCCTTTGCTGTTCCTCAGATAAGCAAGACACACACGTTCTCATCTCAGTTGGGGCAGCTGGCCTTCCTCTGCCTGCCGTTCTCCTCCCTGTACTTTTTGGGGCTGTCATTTTAATTGGGTTGAGACACCAGCACTGTGGCACAGTGAGTTAAACTGCAGCCTGCAATGTTAGCGTTCCATAGGGGTGCTGGTTCGAGTCCCAGCTTGCTCCACTTCCCATCCAGCTCCCTGCTAACGTGTCTTGGAAAGGTCTAAGTTTTTGGGCCCCTGCACCAGGTGGGAGACCTGGATGAGGCTCAGCCATAGCCACTGTGGCCATTTGGAGAGAGAGCTAGAAGTATCATCTCTCTCTGTATATACATATTCAACGCTTTCAAAGAATTAAAACATATCTTTAAATCAATAAATAAATCAGGTTCAAATGTCACCTTCAGAGGCTCTACCAGGAGATCCTATGTTGTTTTTTAAATCTTCCTCCATCACTTCCCGTTCTGTTACATTGCTAAGTTTTCCTTTTTCGCAAACTTACTAGGCATTACTATCTTATTAATTAATTAAATATCCTGATATTTGAGAGGCAGGGATATAGGCATATTTTTCATATGCAGGTTCATTCCCCAAATGCCTACAACTACCAGGAAGTGGACAAGCCAAAAGTGGGGTGCCAGGAACCCAGTGTAGGTAAGGGGTAGCAGGGATCCGAGCCATCACTGGGATGGAGGCCCTGCCAGCCTCACTCCATCTTTGGTCCTACCTGCTATGGTGTACAGGGCCGTGATGACCAGCAACCCAATCACAGACAGGTACAGATCCAGGTGCAAAGACTGCTGGATGAAGATGGCCCCGGCATACATGTCCACCTGAAATCAGGACATCGAAGAGAGTGGGTGGATGTGACAGCCCAGGCACCCCGCAGCAGCCCAGACTTTGACAAGCACACAGGAGTCACTCCCCCAGCCCCGTTCCTTTTGTGTCTTCATTTACCTCATCCCAGGCCACAGGGTCTCAACCCTGAGCTCTTAACAGGAAACAATGTTTGAGATCCTCGCTCTGGGCTAACGCAACGACCTCCTCCCAGCTCAGCCCTGGGACTTCTTGCATCCCAACCCTCGTCGGAAACCGACTGATCATCCTCCCTGACCCCAAGACTAAGGCCGAATAAACACACCAGCACTGCTTGCCAGGCACGTGCTTATTTCCAGACTTCTGGGCACTCCTGAAAATGGAGCCAACAAGCCATGCTCGCCCAGGCCTTCCAACTTGGGCTGGCACCAACCCATCCATCTGGAAGACCACTCCTCGCCGTTCCAACAGCTAAGCGCCTCCTAAGATACAGCGTCCCTTCTAAGACTTCCAACCACACAGCCAAAGAATATTCTAGAATGGAGCCTACTTTGCACAGAATCCGTCATTGCTGCTTGGATTGGGTGCAAGTCCCCCTGCGTCTTGCTCACCTGCCTTCCCACCCTAGGGCTGACAGAGAAGACAGCTGTGGGGCTAGGCTTGTAAGACTGTATGTTCCACCAAGTGGCAAGGCTTGTGCTGTTCTACCGCTTTCCAAGAAACCTGCCATCCAAAGGGCAGGGCAGAGCAAGACAGGGTTAGGGGCCCACGTGTGTGGTGATCAGCTGCTGGTTGCTTGATGCAAGATCAGAGTCCCACCCCAGGGCGGGGTGGGGGAGGGCAGGGCTCCTGGGGTTCTCTCCAAGTCCAGCCTGCTCTTCCCCACCTCCCCTGCCACTCACACTTCTGGGCTGGCCAGGGGCAGGCGAGAGGTCTTTCTCCCAACATCCCTGGCCAGGTTTGCCCTTCTCCGGCCCCTGCCTGAAGCTGGCCCAGGAGGACAGGGAGAAGTTAGCCCCGGCAGCCCGGCTGGTCCCCGTGCCTTACTGAGATCTTGGTGAAAATGTAGATAAACAGGTAGAGGACGGCGAGCGTGATGGCGATCCTGCTGCCGCCAAACCGCTTCCTCAGGTATTCTGGCATCGTGGTGACCTGGGTGGGAGGGGGCGGACAGAGGGAGAGCTTTCAGCATCCATCGCTGACCTACAGCAACTGCTGCAATGTCCACCATTATCCGGCCTCAACCCGGCCCATCGCCCCAAACTTGGGAGACTTAAAAGATGAAGAGGTGGGGGTACAGAGGAAGCGGGGTTCCACCAGGGGTGTGTCCCCATCAATTTCCCCATAACCTGTACCATTATTGACTTGTTCTTTCGACGGATTCACCTTTTTTTTTGTTCATGATAAACCTACCTAAACATGAAACTTTAAAAAAAAAATTGAATTGTATCTGGTGTTGTGGTGCAGTAAGCTAACTCAATGCTAAGTAGCTGTTTGCAAAGCCAGCACCCATGTGATGCCGGGTTCCAGATCTGGCTGCTCCCCTTCCCATCCAGCTCCCTGCTGATGGGTCTGGGAAAGCAGCAGAAGATGGCCCAGGTGCTTGGGCCCCTGCACCCACATGAGAGGTTTACAGCTCCTGGCTTCTGTTTGGTCCAGCTCTCTGTGTTGTAGCCATTTGGGTCCAGCTGCAACAATGGTTCTGGGGTGGGTGATGGACAAGGCAGAAGGAAGGCATCATTGCCAGGCAGGGCACCCCAGGGGCTGGAACGTGCTGTTAGGAGTTATTGTGGGGGGTTGCCCTTGTCTTGGGGGTGGGCATGTCCTTTCCTAATCTCACCCCCACAGTCCTCCCGGGCGTGGCGATGAGGCAGTGCTGCATCTTGACCCCAGGACCTCAGACCAATGCATGTCAGCCCACACAGCGACATCCGCCTCGGAGGATATAGGCTGCTATGCTTGCAGGCCCGCCTCCAGGCTGCTGCAGCTGGGCTGTGCCCAGGTCTGATCCAGGAGAGACTTACAGGTGTGAAGCCATACAGGACAGATGGCAAGCCGCCCATGGCAAGGTCAAGGTCAGACTGTGGGTAAGAAGACCGTGGGAGCCGGGGTGGAAGAGCTCAGCTGCCTTACTTGCTGGCCGAGCAGGAAGTGGTTCACAAGGTGGAAACTGGGTATTGGGGAATTGAGGGGGGGTTCAATGTAACATGACTACCTGACCTGTGTGTGTGTGTGTGTGTGTGTGAGAGAGAGAGAGAGAGAGAGGGAAAATAGTGGCCACAAAAAAAAAAAAATAGGGAAAGAAAAGAACAGCTGCTTTTCTCTCGTTCTTCACCCCTCCCACCTCTCCGCAGAAGGGCCTCTTGGGATTCTGACCCTCTCAAACTCCTGCAGCCTTATTGGTATTTTCTGTAAGGCAGGAAGTTTTTAGAAGGACTTTGCACTGGACTCTGACCCCCTATCAAGGCATAACAAGGCCTCCTCCATGACCATGGGACCAATTCTTGCTGATAACTGTGAGTACTAATTAGAGAGCACCCAAGGTGACAGAGGACCTGTGGCATCTGGACAACAGGTGCGTTGAGGCAGTCAAGGTCTGGGATGGAGTCTGTCCCTGGCGGCCTGGAGCAGGTGACAAGGCTCTCTTATCGCTGGCTGGCAAACAGCCTTCATTCTCAACGGACCTTGGTTTGAATGCAGGGTGCAGGAAGCTCCCAGTGAATTAACCAGGGAAGGCAGGGTGAGGGCCACAGACGGCCAGCAGCATTGGGCACCTTCTAAAATCAGATGCTGGGGAGGGGGGCAAAACTGAAGCTAGTGCACAGGGAGCATGCGGCACAGACGCTGTTGGTTCCAGTCTCCAATGACCCCCAAGTACAAGGTGTGTAGGAAATGGCCCACATTCCCAGCGACACTCCCCTAGTCCCTTCTGGCTCCAGCTGCCCCCCACCCGACTTAGTGAGGAGGGGCTGGCTGTTAACACAGGAACCACCCACCCCCTGGAGGAGGCTGGGGGATATCAGGAAAAAAAAATCAAGTGAAACAGCTGACAGCTGCCCATGGAGGTGCTCGCCCACACCCCCTCACTCCAATATACTCCTTGTCTCTAAGCGGGCGAGAGAACTCTCCGTCACCATCACCTCCCATGATCACGCAGAGCTTCCCTCTTCCTCAGGACCCCTGGCGAGGTGACAGCAGCGCCACCCTCCCCCATATCCAGAACACAGGGTCTTCAAAAAGTATGTGGAAAGCATGTGTCAAGAAAACTATCCATGAATTTTTTAAAAAAATTTATACCAAAAATAGACTTATTTTTAAATTTCATTTTTATAGAATTTGGAAATAGCTTTGTGTTTAACCTTTGTGTGTTAGCCCTGATTGCATTTACACGCAACTCAAAGTATGAACTCAAACTGAAAGATAGTTTCCAGGTATGTGTAACGAAAGCAAGAAAACGCAGACACACGCACTTATTATGAAAGGAGAAAAACTGGCATTGTAGCCCAGCAGCTTAAACCATTTCCTGCGCCACTGGCATCTGCTATCAGAGTCCCCGTTTGAGTCCCGGCAGCTCCACTTCCCATCTAGCTCCCTGCTAATGCACCTGGGAAAGCAGCAGAGGATGGCTCAAGTACTTGGACCCCTGGCACCCATGTCTGTTCCAGTCTTGTTCTACCCCAGATATCTGATCACAGGTGGGCGTGGGCTGACTCCAGGTCTCCATCATCGAAGGCGTTCGGCACTGAGTGGGATGATGACAGCACACATCCCTGCGTGCGACCCTGGCTTGTAGCGGTCCTGGAGGAAGTGGCTCTAAATGTCCTTTCTAGTCCTGAAACCCTTTCCACTCTATGTGTTCCTTAAGGTTCCATAAACGACAGAGTGGGTTGTGGCTTTATGGAGAACGTTATGCTATACTGAATATCCCTGCATACCTGGACATGGTTTACGAAAGTGAGATCGGCTGGGAGTTTGTGGTGATCTCAACTGGGTGTTGTCTCCCCCGTGCTGGGACTTCTTAGTGGCTCTGATGGATGCCCAAAAGTGGCAGAGGGGAACGTAGGACTAATCTTCCAGAAGGGCATCTCTTTTCATGTTCCCCTCTCTCCCCCACTGCCAGGGCCCTTTGCACTCACCTGGCCGGCGATGTAGATTGGGAGGAAGATCCATGCCAGCATCAACACAGAGAACATGCCCTGCCCAGGGAAACAGAGTCAGGGCCTGACACCTCACCCACATCTGGGTGGGGGCTTGGCTCTCTCTCTGCACCCTGAGGCCACCTGGCCTGAACTCCACCATAAGGAAGCCAGTGGAGCCACAGGAGCACCAGTTCAACTCCCTGCTACTCTATTCCCAATCCTGCTGCCTGCTAATGTGCCTGGGAAGGCAGTAGAGGGTGGCCCAAGGGCTTGGGTCCCTGCCACCCACATGGTAGACCTGGATGGAACTCCTGGCTTCAACCTGACCCGGGCATGGCCAATGGGCATTTCAAATATACAGAAATGTCCTCCACTTCCCAGCCACCTTCTTTCTTCTGCTTCTGCACAGGAAAGATCCTCCCCACCCCCATTCCTCACCTACGCCCAAGGATCCGCCACCCAACAAACCCAGGGTGCCCCGAGGCTTCCTGATCAAACAATCTGGCCGACTAGGGTGCCCTTGAAGGCCCCTGCTTGTTTCAAAAAGCCCCACTGGGGCTATAAAACCGGCATGCTCACCCGACTTCCTCGCAGGACCAGCCTCACAGGCAGAGGCAAGGCTGCTGGGCTGGGCTATAATACTTACATTGAGCTCATACGCAGCTACGGAGATTCCAGACGCAGCCCCGGACCCGGCCAGGCCAACGAAATGCCCGCTCCCAATGTTGCTGGCAAACAAGGAGGCACCCACCTATGGGCAGATGGACAGCGGGAAGAACCCCCATTCCCAGTTTTTGTCAAGCTCCAAAGGGTCTGGAATGGTAGGAGAAGTGGGGACAGCAGGGTCATCCCTGGTCTCCCTGGCATCTTTGTTCAAATTAGAAAGTGATCCTTAGTGGCCACAATTTGTTGCTGTGAAGCCAGAAGAAGGTAAGCTGATATAGTTATCAGATGATGATGATGATGGATAGATAGATAGATAGATAGATAGATAGATAGATAGATAGATAGAGGCTTGTAGATGATACAAACAGAATCAGAGATTCAGATGAATGGCTGGATAAGAGAGAAAGAGAAAAGTATTTGGAGAAACCAGGACGTGGTGACATGGTGACATTATTTGAGCGTCAGTACTCAGCCTGACCAAACCAGGCCAACCTTGGATCTTCCTGAACCTACAATGCTCTTTCCTGTTTAAGGAACTTTGAGAGGGAGCCCAGTCTTTTCTAGTTTTGACTGTGACTTTCAGACATCACGGAAGAAAGGGGCCCAAGACAGGACAGGAGCCCTTGAAAAACCCATCGGCAGTTCTTTCAGTGGAACCAAAGGTCACTTACCGGCCACCACACCATGTCCCCTCCAGCCAGGAAGTAGCCTTTTACTGTGTCCCTCTTGGTCTTCACTGTGGACTGAAACAAAGAAGAGGGAAGCATGAGGGGAAACGGGGTGACCAGGGGCATCCTCAGGTGGCCCTCGGTGCCTGGTAGTGGCTGAGATGCTACCTAGGGGGCTCACATCCCGTACCATGGAGCCTGAGTTCGAATCCCAGCTCTGCTCTTGACTCCAGCTCCACGTCTGTGAGTGCACAACCTGGGAGGCAGCAGGTGATAGCTTAAGGACTTGGTTTCCTGACACTCATGTGGGAGACCCAAGTTGAATTCTGGGTTCCTGATTTTCATCTGGCCCAGCCCTGGCTGTTGTGGTCACTTAGAGTGGGCAGCAGAGAAAGACTTCTGCATCTCTCTGCTTATCATCGATCTATTTATTATCTATCTCAACAAGTTGCATATCAAAGAAAAGAGATAAAAACTCAAAGGTTAAAAAGAAAATTTTTTGTTTGTTTGTTTGTTTTAAAATTCAGCTCTGGATTTGAAGAGATTCCCTCATTCAGGACTTTCCAAGTCTATGACACATCGGAGTGACCTGGTCCTCTTGCAGAGGCCTCTCCAGCATCTCCCTCAGACGTCAGCATCACACTCAGAGTGCCCACCTGGCTGGCACCTGCTCAGGTGGCCAGAGGGCTCAGCACAAGCCAACCAACCCAGCTCTGTCTTCCCCGTGAGAGGGCCGACAACAGCTGACCCTTTCCGTCTGGAAGGTCCACAAGACACTGTGTGAGTCTCTCCTTACGAATCCTCTCTTGATGTTGACACACGGCCCCTGCACCTCCGGTTCTAGAAGCTTCTGCCCCCATCAAGCAATCCCACAACATACCATTCATCACTCGCGCAGAGCTGCTACGACACAAACCCACACTCACTGCCATCCTTGGCACTTCCACCCTTCACCCTGACCCTGACCCAGGTCTGTCTTACTCATCCCTGTGTGTCCTACACACAGGTAGGGGAGGCAGGGGAAGGCCGTTGGGATGGCCAGCACTTTTGTTCCTTTCCTGACCTACAGGAGCAAAAGCTAAGGGGTAGGAGTTGTGGGAAACCCTCCAAAGAGTCACACAGAAGTAAACGCACAGGGCCGGCACTGAGACACTGCATCCCTTCTGGGTGCCAGTGTAAGTCCCAGCTGCTCTCCTTCCAATCCAGCTCCCTGCTGACGGCCTGGGAAGGCAGTGGAAGATGGCTCAAGTACTTCAACTCAGCACCTGTGTGGAGGACCTAGAAGAACCTCATGGCTCCAGATGGGTGTGATCAGGTTGTTGCAGCCATTTGAGGATGGAAGGTCTCCTTTTCTGTGTCTCTCCTTCTTCCTCTGTAACTCTGCCTTTCCCATAAAAATAAATAAAACTTAAAAGAAAAAAAAAGAAAAAGAAATGAGCACATCTCATTTTTCTACAGTGTGAAAGGCCTGGTACCAGGATACACCAAAGACAGACAGATATATCTTCTCCACATCCTTGCCTTGAAGCTACTAAATCCTTAATATACAATGAGTTTCTAGAAATAGATAGGCAAACAAACAAAAACAACAATGCAGAACCCCAAAAATGTGAAACCACAACTCATATAAAAAAAGAGAGAAGCTTTCCTTAAATATATGTGAGGGTGTCTGACCTCATTTATTACCAGATAAAAAATGTATTAGCAACACACGTAGGTGTTATCAGCACCAAGATATTGACAACACCTGTTAGTGAAGAAATGACAATACAGACTTTGGCACTTGATTGATAAAACCAAGATTAGCTCCAGGCCTGAGGAAGGCCAATAGGCATAAAGGGTAACTTCTTCAGATGGTTCTGCCCCAAGGGGCTGATCCTTCCTGACAGCTAACCCCCCAAATAAGGAGTGTCTGAGCTTTGCTTATTTCAACAACAGATCGGAAACCATGCCAGGAATCCTTAGCAAGGCTGCTTAAACGGAGGGCGGTGCTTCGATCTAATGAGACTCTGTGTTCCACTTTAGGAAGTTGGGAACATTTCTACGTACTAATCTGAAAGGACAGCTAAGATAGAGAAATTTTTTAAAAATTTATTTTTATTGGAAAGGCAGATTTACAGGGAGATGGAGAGACAGAGAGAAAGATCCTCCATCTGCTGGTTTACTCCCCAAGTGGCCGCAATGGCTGGTACTGTGCTAATCCAAAGCTAGAAGCTTCTAAGTCTCCCATGTGGGTGCAGGGTTCCAAGGTTTTGGGTCATCCTCTGCTGATTTCCCAGGCCACTAGCAGGGAGCAGCCGGGATATGAACCAGCACCCATATGGGATTCTGGCGTGTGCAACACAAGGACTTTAGCCACTAGGCTACTGCACTGGGCCTGAAGAGTGATTTTTTTCCCCCCAAAAAAAGTTATAAAGAGGGTGTAGGAGCCCCCAATAACCCCACTAGGCCCACCCTCAGCCCTAGTTTTTTGTTTTTTTTTTTTTTTTTTGCAGCTGCTGTCAGGTGCTGTGGCTTAGCCTGGCCCATCCTGTATCCTACCCAGTTCTCATGTGCATGCATGGGTGCTTCAGCCTAGCTCAGCCCATCACGCCCCCAAATACAGCCCACATGCATGCCAATGGGTGCTGCAGCCTTGCCAACTTGACCCACCCCCTAGCCCTGGCTCTCGTGTTCACCAGCAGGAGCTGCAGTCTGGCAGTGGAGGCCCCAGTGTTCCCCTACCAGACCTACTCCCAGCCTCAGATTTTGAGTGTGCCAGTGGGTGATGCTACCTAGCTCAACATGGCCTGCCCCCATGTCCTGCACTTGTCAGCAGGTGCTACAACCTAGTCCCAGCCTGACTCACCCCCAGACCCAGCTCTCATGTGAATCAGTGGGTACTATACCTAAACTAGCTTCTTTCTCTACAAAAGGATGAGGCTAAGCTGTCATCTTCTGGTCAGACATTTGCTCCACTCCCCCTCCCAGGAACCTCCATGGTTTGGCTTACCCATAGTCCTACAGCAAGGACAAAGAGGAAGTACAGGACCAACACGGCAATGTCTCCTGGCTCCAGGCTCCTCTGGGGGAAAGGGTCCAGGGGATCTGAGGAAGGGGGCTGGGTGCTGCTCTCCATGGTCCTGAACACACTCTGATGCCTGCAGGGAAGAAGTAAACACACATCAGGTGACTTCCCTGGCTGCTTTCCGGGGGGCAACTGAGGGCTGGGTGGTGGAGACATCTGCAGGAAGGCTGGTGCATCCATCCATCCACTCGTTTACCAAACAAATGTTTACAGTGAAGTCCCATTTAATTCTGCAGTTGATGTTGTACCAAGTCAACCATTTGCCTGGTAGGCAGCACAGTGGGCTAAGTGGCCATCTGTGACACCAACATCCCATGAGTGTAGGTTGGAGTCCTGCTCCCTGCTCATGTACTTGGGAAAACAGTGAGTGGTGTCTGGGCCAATTTCACCAGGGTGAGAGAACTGGATGGAGTTCTGGGCTCCTGGCTTCAGTCTGATCCAGCCCCAACCATTGAAGCCATGTGGGGAGTGAACCCATAGGTAGAAGATTTCTCTGTGTGTGTGTGTGTGTGTATGTGTATGACTCTCCTTTTCATATAAGTTGACCAATTTTTTTAAAAACTGAAAAACCCCTGACACTCAATGGTTTTTGTAAACTGGAGGGAGGTTCTAGACTCACAGAGTTACACATGTGTTTTCTGCCTTAGCAGCTACATCAGGAAGTCTCGGCTGGAGGTGCCAGGTCAGTGCCCTATCAGTGTTGCCCATCTCTGGCCTCCTGCCGCCACACACCAGTAGTATTTCCTCATCATTGTGATAACCAAGTCACTCTCATGGCATTCAAGACATTGCCACAAAGGCAGCAGCACCTGCACTGCCCTCCTCCCACCAAGCTAAAGGATGCCACTAAAGGGTTTTTTAAAGAATTTATTTATTTTTATTGGAAAAGCAAATATATATAGAGAAGGATATACAGAGAGAAAAATCTTCTGTTCACTGGTTCACTTCCCAAGCAGCTGCAACAGCCGGAGCTGAGCTGATCCAAAGCCAGGAGCCAAGAGCTTCTTCTGGGTCTCCCACGTGGGTACAGAGTCCCAAGGCTTTGAGCTGTTTTGCACTGCTTTCCCAGGCCACAAGCAGGAAGCTGGATGGGAAGCGGGGCAGCCGGGATATGAACCAGCACCCATATAGGTAGATTTGAATGGAGTTCCAGGCTCCTGGTTTTAGCCTGACCCAATAAGCTAGCAAATGGAAATAAGCTAGCAAATGGAAGATCTCTCTCTGCCTCTTCCCCTATGTAACTCTGCCTTTCAAATACATAAATCTTTAAATGAAATCTGCCTGTAACACTCACGTCCCATAGGAATACTAATTCGAGTCCCTGTTGCTTCAATCCAGCTCCCTGTTAATGTCCTGGGAAAGCAGTGAAGAATGGCCAAAGGCTTTAGGCTCCTGCACCCACAGGGGAGACCTGGAAGAAACTCTAGGCTCCTGGCTTGATCAGCCTAGCTTCAACCACTGCAGCCATTTGGGGAATAATCAGCAGATGAAAGGTCTCTCTCTCTCTTTCTCTCTCTCTCTCTCTGTCTCTCCCTCTTTTTCTGTAACTCTTACTTTCCAAGTAAAATAGGTACATATTAAAAAAAAAAAAGGCAGGGTCCAGCACGATGACCTAGTGGAAAAAGTCCTCACCTTGAAAGCACCAGGATCCTAGATGGGTGCCGGTTCTAATTCCAGGAGTCCCGCTTCCCATCCAGCTCCCTGCTTGTGGCCTGGCAAAGCAGTCGAGGATGGCCCAAACCCTTGGGACCTTGCACCCGCATTGGAGACCTGGAAGAAGCTCCTGCCTCCTGGCTTTGGATCAGCTGGGACTCGAACCCAGATCTATCCATACAGTTTCAGCACTGTTGCTTCCACAACAGGAGACCTGGTGCAGGATGAGACCTAGGCGCTTAGGAAGCAGTTCCCAGCTGGGGGTCAACATCCCAGGACTGCACAGGCCTTAAAAAGGGAGGGAGGATGAGGGGGAGGAGGGGCTGTGGCTGCCTGGCCAGCAGTGCCCTGCCTGCTGCCCTCCACTCCCTTGCAGCTCTCTGCCCGCCAGGCACCGAGAGGGATGGCAGCAGTTCCCTTGCTTGCAGCAGATAAACAAGTCATTCATCACTGTCTCGGGGAGACTGGCACCAGCTCCAGGCCTTTCTGGGCACCAGGCAGGGTGGCTGGGAGCTGGGCTCCCAGCAGGCCCCTTTTTCATCAAATCTTGCTGTGGATGAGACAGCAATTTCCATGGGAGTGCCAGATTGTGAGGTTCCTGCTGTTGTATCCCTACCTGTCAGGGCATCTGAGTGATCCAGGCCCAGGCCCTGGCTGTGCCCCTGGCTTCCGAGGCCCAGAAATACCAGAGGTGGGATTTGTACGCAGGTCCTGAAGCAAAGCTAATCGTGTCCTAGCTGGCTCACTCTCTTTTCTCTTTCACCACGTCTTTTTAATTCCCCCTGCCCTCCTCCTGTTCCTCTGTCTTTTTATTTTTTAAAATGAAGACGTATTTAGTTGTTCGAAAGGCAGAGGGACAGAGAGGGAGAGACAGAGAAAGATTTTCCAGCTGACTCACTCCCCAAATGGCTGTGAGAGCCAGGGCTGGGCAGGGCTGAAACTCAGCAGGGGCGAACTTCATCCAGATTTTCCATGTGGGTGGCAGGAGACCAGATGGCCATCTTTGGCTGCTTTCTGAGGTGTATCAGCAGGGAGCTGGATGGGAAGCGGAGCTGCCAGGGCTTGAACCAGCAATCCTATGGGATGCCAGCACTATCAGTGATGGCTTAACCGGCTACACCTAATAGTAGCCACACCTCTATTTCTTTTCCACAAATATTTATCAGACAGAAACTATGCAGGCAGGTTCTGTGCTAGATTCTGGCGACTCAAGGAAACTGACATCTATTAGGCACCAAGTGTATGCCAGACTTTGTGATAAGCCCCAGATGTTTAGTGAAACATGTGGTTGTGAGGAAAGAGCTGACTGACAGAGGTAGAAGGAAAGAGCGCTCCCATGTAATGGCTCACTCTCCAAGTGGTCACACTGGGGGAGCTGGGCCAGTTTGAAGTCAGGAACCAGAAGCTTCCTCCGGGTCTCCCATGTGGGTGCAGGAGCCCCAAACATTTGGGCCATCCTTCGCTGCTTTCCTGGGTGCTTTAGCAGGGAACTGGATTGGAAGTGGAGCAGCCGGGACTAGAACCAGCACCCAGACGGGTTGCTGGCCCTTCAGGCAAAGATCTAATCTCTACTGCACTATTCTTTATAACTTATGTGTGTCTGAAACACATTGGAGGAAAGAAGAAATAAATGAAGCAACGTTTACAGCGCAAGGCCATATTTGCACTCAAAGACACAGGATAGTGCAAAGCATGTTGCTGGGAGGTGACTGTATTTGCTGATGAATATCAAACACAGAAGTGGAAAGGTGGGAGGGGGAGGGAGAGAGAGGCTGAGGGAGAGCTTGGACGACTATCTCGTTGCAACTCGTGTTAATGGGTCAGAGACTCCGGGAAATAGGTGTGATTGAGCTGATAACACGTAGACTTTCGAACTGCCTTGGACCAAATCCCAACTATACCTACTGTTAGCAACATGTCCCTGAACACATAACCCTTTCTTCACTTCCCCGGCTATAAAACAGGGCCATTCATGAGCTGCACGACACAGGTTGGTTCAAAACAGTAAAGCAAATCCTTCAGAAAATGCTATCGGAGACTTGATCTGTCCCCATCCTGCTTGTAAAACTACACTAAAAAAAAGAGGATGGGCTTTGTGGTTGGACGGATGTTGGCTGTGTACACACCTGAATCTCCATTCAGACACAGCGCCCTGAGGATTCAGGTATCCAATTAGCTCCTCTGCCCAGGGAGGCCCAGGAGGCTGAAGTCCCGCCCAGGCCCACTGGGCTGGTAAATGAGTGATCCAGGCTCCAGCTCAGGTTTAACCCTCCAGCTCCTAAGCATGCATAGAAAATTCCACAGGGGCTAGCAAGGGCTAGCACGAGTGGCTACACGTCTCCCTTCACTTCTCTGCTTCTCTGCACTGCGGCCCCCTGTGGTGGAGGTGGTGGCCCACACCCAGCTATGAGCTGAGGCACAAGTGCAGGCATCCCATCCAGGGCAAGGAGCCTAGTTCTGCAGGGCACAAAGGGGCTGCTAGGCTTGGACGTGCACAATGAAGGACCCAAATGACCACATCTTGTCTCCTGACCTGAGTTCTTTAAGGACGTTCTCTTGGGGCCAGTGCTCTGCTGACATCCTGAACAGGCACTTGTTCAAGACTTGGCTGCTGCACTTCCCATCCAGCTCGCTGCTTGTGGCCTGAAAAAGCAGTGGAGGACGGCCCAAAGCCTTGGGACCCTCCATCCAACGTGAGAGACCTGGAAGAAGCTCCTGGCTTCTGGCTTCGGATCAGTACAACTCCAGCTGTTGCAGCTACTTAGGGAGTGAATCTAATGGATGGGAGATCTTTTTCTCTGTCTCTCTTTCTCTCTATAAATCTGACTTTCTAATAAAAAATTTTAAAAAAGAAAACTGTTCTCTAATAAGGCCAGTAGTAGTATGGCTTAGGAGCACTGGTTCAAATGCCGGCTACTCCGGCCTCCTGCTGATGTGCCTGGGCAATCAGCAGAAGACGGCCCAAGTGCTTGCGCTCTCTGAACTCAAATGTGTGACCTGGATATAGCTCCAAGTTCATGTGGGCTGTCCGGCCATTGTGGCCATTTCGTGTATAAACTAGTAGATGGAAACTGTCTCTCCCACCTTCTGTGTACCTCTGCCTTTTAAACAAACTAATACATTTTTTAAAAAAATTTCTTTAGAACAAGAGACAGATCCATCACATTGGGCTGGAGCAGGGACTGGGAGCCTCCCCAGCCCACTGGGAGGAAGCACAGCTGTGGCCGTTTAGGAAGAGATTGCAGGTTGGGTAGGGCAGGCGGCATTCTCACACAGTCCACATGGGCACTCTTCTCCACCCAGCACCCCTCGGCTCTCCCTCGGGGGTGACCTTGTTTCCTGATTCTGGCAGAGAATCAAAACATCACAGGTGCACCTGTCTTGTGCAACAGACATCTTGAAGTACACACCTCAGCACCAAG